ACAGTGTTTCCTGTTTTGCAAGGGGAAGATGAAGGAAATTTGATGCCACTGATTTCACAAAATAACATTCCCGAAAACTGCGCTCAATGAGATTCTTTAAAAAAATTAATGTCTCAAGTGCGCAATATTTTCTTTTTTTTTTTTTTTCCTGAAAGAGTTGATGTAATAAATCTGCAGTGTAAAAGCTGTTAAAACATTAGATTATTAATATAACATTTTGAAAAAGTCATATGAAGGATGTATACATTTTTTAGTGGTTGCTTTAATTAAAGTTGTGGATTCAATGAGTGTTGCGCTAGGCAAAATGAAGACTTAAAAAGAGCACACATTCAATACCGTTTTGAACAAATGAAGATTTATCACGCGCCTACTACTGGTCAATGTTTTCTTCAATTGATTTCAGATCGAAACCGTTTGTATTTTCTTGACAGTTGTAACTTCTGTGTCACAGATAACTGGATGGCAGAAAGTACAAATACAGTTGTAACTTCTGTGTCACAGATAACTGGATGGCAGAAAGTACAAATTCAGTTGTAACTTCTGTGTCACAGATAACTGGATGGCAGAAAGTAAAAATACAGTTGTAACTTCTGTGTCACAGATAACTGGATGGCAGAAAGTAAAAATACAGTTGTAACTTCTGTGTCACAGATAACTGGATGGCAGAGAGTACAAATACAGTTGTAACTTCTGTGTCACAGATAACTGGATGGCAGAGAGTACAAATACAGTTGTAACTTCTGTGTCACAGATAACTGGATGGCAGAAAGTACAAATACAGTTGTAACTTCTGTGTCACAGATAACTGGATGGCAGAAAGTACAAATACAGTTGTAACTTCTGTGTCACAGATAGCTGGATGACAGAAAGTACAAGTACAGTTTCAATACAGGCCTACATTCATGGATTAAATGCTTTTCTCTTTTTAATATCGGAATTAAAATTTTAAAAAATATGCTCTACCAGCTTTCAAGTATTAATCTAAAAATCAAACTACTCTAGATTAGTATAAGATATCATCCATCCATCCCTGTGGTGGCGCTACAGCCCATGTAGGGCTTTGGCCTGCCTCACCACTTCCTTCCACTCAGACCTAGCTAGCGCCTTTCTTTTCCATGCTTGGACTTTCAGCTGTTGTAGATCTTTTTCCACGTCATCCATCCATCTAAGCCTAGGTCTGCCTTTGAGCCTTTTTCCTCTGGGGTATTGGTGATGCACCCTCTTCGTTCCTCTGTCATTTGGCATTCTCTCTAAGTGTCCTGGCCAGCGTTGCCTGCCACTTTTTATTTCTGCTACAATCGTGGGATCCTGATATAGGCTTAGTATAAGATAGGAAGTTGAAAAAAAAGTTTTCGTGAACTAGTTTTACGATTTCCTCTATTATTATTTTAAAAACTTATTTAAACAAAGTTACTATTTTTTTTTTAAAAATATCAATTTTTCAATCTGGAGATTTGGAAAATAAATTTCATGTATTCATTGCAGTGACGTAGCTAAGGTTAGTGCCACCGGGTCTGTTAAGATAATTGAATGGACTATATGTTTGTAAAGTTACTTCTTAAGTTTAACTAAAATAAACGACCGCAAAGGACATGCGAATATCACTGAGTCAAAATAAAAAACCCAGACACGCAGCGCCGCCATTCGCACATGGGTACCATTAGAGTCAAGCTATTCGGATGTCCTTTGTGGTAGTTTATTTTAGCAGTGGCGACGCCATCAAATTTAACATGGTGGGTCCCTTGCAGGTCTTAAAAAAATTTGGTGGGTCCCAAATAAATGTATTAAAAATAAAATTTATTTATTAATTAATATTTATTAATCTACTAACTTAACCCAAAGTTTACATACATTGTCAATTGTCATAATAAATTTATTTCAATGTATCATATTTCGCGATATTTTTGCGTACGTAATACATGGATGGCCTCTTACAAGTTAAAAACTTAAATTTTATATATATTACATTTTATGACGTTATATTGACTTTTGTTGTCGATAAAAATGTAAACATATAAAGGCATTTAAAATGGAAGTTCTCTTACATGTAATGTAGTTTACGCTTAATGAGCATATCTACAATATTAGTAACTAATAAAAAAATTGACCAGGTCATTTGCCAGGTCCCAAATTATTTTTACCAGGTCCTGGGACCCGCCGGGACCTGGTGTAGCGTCGCCACTGGTTCTAAGTAGCGTACAGATCCACCCTTGAGGTGACGCTCCGCCCTATATATTTCTTAGGGCGTCCATGTGTTATAAATAGCAGTTGACAAACGTTAGCTATTTTAGTCAAGAATTTACATAGAGCGCTAATTTAGAAAGTAATTAATGAGTGTGTGGACCAGTGTTGACAGTAATTAATATTGGCCGACATTTCAGAGCGTTTAAATCCGGCATTGATTTACGAGGAGGGGGTGGGGGAGGGGGTCCCACGTGTGGTCACTGCACAGGGGGCAAAAAAAGTGTGTGTGGGGAGGGGGGGGGAGGAAGAGGACATGTGGTGCTTACGGTGTGTGAATGTAACGGTGTCATTAGAATGTGTGGGCGTATGATGTCATTAAAATGTGTGGGCGTATGATGTCATTAGAATGTGTGGGCGTATGATGTCATTAGAATGTGTGGGCGTATGATGTCATTAGAATGTGTGGGCGTATGATGTCATTAAAATGTGTGGGCGTATGATGTCATTAGAATGTGTGGGCGTATGATGTCATTAGAATGTGTGGGCGTATGATGTCATTAAAATGTGTGGGCGTATGATGTCATTAAAATGTGTGGGCGTATGATGTCATTAGAATGTGTGGGCGTATGATGTCATTAGAATGTATGGGCGTATGATGTCATTAGAATGTGTGGGCGTATGATGTCATTAGAATGTGGGAGCAGGTTTTTCTTTAATGTGCAAGCAATCATTTTATTTTGTGGAGTGTGGGGCCATTATAGTGTAGAGGCGTATGACGTATGACGTATGGCGTATGACGTATGACGTATGACGTATGGCGTATGACGTATGACGTATGACGTATGGCGTATGACGTATGGCGTATGACATATGGCGTATGACGAATGGCGTATGACAGAACGTTGAGTAAAGATAATTAATCCAGGTCCAATCATATTTGTTATCAAAATTGTTCTTTTAATTTAAATAATTTCGTTCCTTTAAATTCACGATATCGTCAGTCAATCCATGTTTACTTAGCCAGACCATGACAACCTTCATGTTTACTTAGCCAGACCATCACAAACTTCATGTTTACTTAGCCAGACCATGACAACCTTCATGTTTACTAAGCGAGACCATGACAACCTTTATGTTTACTTAGCCAGACCATGACAACCTTTATGTTTACTTAGACAGACCATGACAACCTTCATGTTTACTTAGCCAGACCATGACAACCTTCATGTTTACTCAGCCAGACTACAACAACCTTCATGTTTACTTAGCCAAACCATGACAACCTTCATGTTTACTTAGCCAAACCATCACAACCTTCATGTTCACTTAGCCCGACTATAACAACCTTTATGTTTACTTAGCCAGACTATAACAACCTTTATGTTTACTTAGCCAGACCATGACAACCTTTATGTTTACTTAGTCAAACCATGACAACCTTGATGTTTACTTAGCCAGACCATGACAACCTTTATGTTTACTTAGCCATACTATAACAACCTTCATGTTTACTTAGCCAGACATGACAACCTTTATGTTTACTTAGCCAAACCATGACAACCTTTATGTTTACTTAGCCAGACCATGACAACCTTTATGTTTACTTAGCCAAACCATGACAACCTTTATGTTTACTTAGCCAAACCATGACAACCTTCATGTTTACTTAGCCAAACCATGGTAACCTTCATATTTACTTAGCCAAACAATGACAACCTTCATGTTTACTTAGCCAAACCATGGTAACCTTCATGTTTACTTAGCCAAACAATGACAACCTTCATGTTTACTTAGCCAAACCATGACAACCTTTATGTTTACTTAGTCAAACCATGATAACCTTCATGTTTACTTAGCCAAACCATGACAACCTTTATGTTTACTTAGTCAAACCATGATAACCTTCATGTTCACTTAGCCAGACCATGACAACCTTTATGTTTACTTAGTCAAACCATGACAACCTTCATGTTTACTTAGCCAGACATGACAACCTTTATGTTTACTTAGTCAAACCGTGACAACCTTCATGTTTACTTAGCCAGACATGACAACCTTTATGTTTACTTAGCCATACCATGACAACCACAAATGATAAATGACAGTGGAACCAAATCCATCCTCTCTATTTCATCATTATTGGCATGCGTGGTTGTACCCCATATATTGAACTGAGAACCTTAAAGTTTCAGTTTTGATAGCGCCTTCTATGAGTTACAATAGTAGTTCTAAAATTAGTTACAATGGTAGTTACAGAAGTAGTTGCAATAGTAGTTACAGAAGTAGTTACAATTGTAGTTTCAATAGTAGCTACAGAGGTAGCTACAATGGTAGTTACATCAGTAGTTACAATGGTAGTTACATTAGTAGTAACAATAGTAGGTACGATAGTAGTTACAATAGTAGTTAGAGTAAAACTTAAAATGGTAGTTACAATAAAACTTACAACAGTATAACTCTGCATTGCGCACTATGAGAATAT